GTTTAAAATATCCTTTCTCTCTTTCTCTCATCTTTTAGGTCAAGATGATGTTTTCAAGTGCCTTGGGGAGAATATCCTTCAGAATGCTTTTGATGGCTATAATGCATGTATTTTTGCCTACGGACAGACTGGTAATGTCAAATACTGTGAAATGACACAAAGCAAATACTGTCAGTGAAACAGAAAATAGAACCATGTTTACCAAGTAGCATACTGCCGATTTGTTCTTTGTTATTAATATTTTCCTTTTCAGAGAGTACTATAGATGAAATTAGGCAATGAGTTTTTAAGAGGGTGTGATAACATTAGCATTAGGATCCTTTTTCTTTACTTATCTTCTCACAAGGCATTGGTAGAGTTATTTTTTTAAAAATACATTACAGAGCTATGACTGTTGAACTTATTACTAGCCATGCCTATGTATCTTTTTTTTTTTTTTAGGCTTTAAGGATCATAGCAGAGAAAATACTAAAAAGAACATGCTTGTTACTGTCTTACCAGTCATAAAGATAAGGAGTTTTTTGGTTTCTGTAACTCTGTGGTCAAGGAAAGGAAATCTATTTAAAGTGAACTAGTTACTAGAGTATAGCATGTAGCTCGTCCAGTTGGAAATGCTCTTCACAGAAAAATGTGTGTGATGTTTTCAGGAAGCATCACACGTAGTTGTTGAAAGAACAGCCAGCCTGGGGCCAGGCTGTGCCAGCTCCAGGCCTGCTCCTGCCACTGGTGGGCAGAGAGACCCGGCACTCCACCCCTGCCCTCCAGCTTCCTTATCTGTAAAGGTGGATAATTAGAGACCTTCCTGCAGGGCTGTCATCATGACTTACTGTGTGCAAACTTTAGAAGAGGCCGGGTACTTAGGGAGTGGTACATTAGCTTTAGGTTTTATGATGTTAATAAAGTGCCAAGTGACAAAAGCAGCAACCTGTATGGTTAACAGCATGTTCACAAAATCCCTGCCACTAAAAAAGGAAAGAATTACACTTAAATGTCAGTGGTTACTGTTTTCCAATGGTAGCACTATGGTGATTTAATTTTTTTCTTCCTATTTTCCTGTGTTTTCTAAATTTTCCTTAATGAATATGTATTCTTACTACAGTGGAGAAAATAATTTTACATTAGAAATGATTATTGTTTGGTTTGCACACTAATGCCAAGGAGTAGTAAGTTAATTTGCTCTGGGGCCCATAGGAATAACCTGTATTTTTTGTGCTGTGATTAGTGGTTGGGAGCTGTTACAATGGTATTAATCATAGGAATCTTCTCAGATTATTTTAGAAAACTTTTCAAACCTATTTTTCAGTTGTTTTAGGTGTTTTGTTTTTTTTTTTTTTTTAAATGTATGAAGGTGACTAAAGAAGGTTTTTTTCTTTCTAAAAGACCTTTACTTCTGGTTTTCACATGTGTAGCAGGAAAGTTTCTATACTTCTTATGCTCATCATTGTTTTTGGGTATACTTCTTATATTTTGGTCATTTTGCTAAGTGCTGATAATTTATTATGAGCAATGGAAAGAGAGTTATGTGTTTAAATTTCCCAAAGAGACAGTGTTAACTCTGCTTTTCATTTTTTAGGGTCTGGAAAGTCTTATACCATGATGGGCACAGCTGACCAACCTGGACTAATCCCAAGACTTTGTAGTGGGCTCTTCGAACGAACTCAAAAAGAAGAAAATGAGGAGCAGAGTTTCAAAGTAGAAGTGTCCTACATGGAAATTTATAATGAAAAAGTCCGAGACCTCCTTGATCCCAAAGGGTAAAAGACTTTAAGACTTCAATGTTTTAGCGTTATGGACCAAAACAGACTTAATAAATTGGCGTAAGGGAAACTTTTGTATTGAACTCCAGTAGGGAATCATCTAGTTATTGTCTTTGTAATTTATTTTTAGTTACGTTGAGTAGCTGCAGCCAATTCTGGGCTTTTGCATTTCGGGCTGATAGGAGAGAGGAGTGGGAGAGTAGGGCTAGTGGATGAGAAGGCAAAAAAAATGGCCTTTCTCAAGTTCATCCAAAGCCACAAATAAGAAATACGTAGTGAAAATTAGTCATTTATTATCAGCATAACTGGTAGCCTTAAACAATTAGTTGTTTTGTTTTTTGTTATTTTTAGGAGGGGTACAGGCTCTCTGTTGCCTAGGCTAGAGTACAGTAGCATCATCATAGCTCACAGCAACCTCAAACTCCTGGACTCATGTGATCCTCCTGCCTTAGCCTCCTGAGTAGCTGGGACTACAGGTGTGTGTCACCACACCTGGCCAGTTTTTCTATTTTTTTATACAGATGGGGTCTCACTGTGTAGCCCAGGCTGATGGTGAACTCCTGGCCTTCAGTGATCCTCCTGCCTTGGCCTCTCAGAGTGCTAGGATTTCAGGCGTGAACGACCATGCCCAGTCTTGGTGTGTGTTCGTTTTTTTGTTTATTTGTTTTTAACCAAGAAATTTCAGGTGGAATTTAGCTGTTTGTAGTTGCAGGGTATGAAGTGAGGAAGACACCTAATCAGATATACGAAACCTGGTCTTTAGCATAATTAATTTTAAAGGTTCTCAGAATAAAAAAAAAGTACCCTTGATTTCATGGCACAGACTTTGAAAGAGAAGAGGCTCGGAAGTGTTATAAGGCTTTCGAAAATGCTGTTCGCAACACAGTAAGACCCCATCTCTACAAAAAATAGAAAAATTAGCCGGGC